GGGGGGGGGGCAATTTACGTTAAGAGTTATTTCTAAGTATAAATAAATTACAAAGTTGTTCCAGTAATGCCAATTAAGAGGAGTTAAAAGGTTCGTCAGCAACACGCATTTCGTTTATATCCATTAAAAACAAAACTGAGGGGGAAAAAACCCAAAATATCGTCTCTGAAAAACAAAGTAGGAACAAAACACGAAAGTTTGTCTCTTGCTAATCATTTTAATTAATGAACATTAATATGCTATTTATAACAAAATTCTTACCCATCACTTGTGTATTGCGGCTCTGGTCGGAGGAAGGTCATGTAGATATTGCAGGTGGAGCACTGGCCTTGAGCTGGGAGGAGGAAAAAAATCAAAGAATGTTCCTTGGTTCTACCATTGCATAGATACTTTTTTTTAAAACAATGTTAAAATAGATATCTAACACCGAAGTGTGTTAACAATGTTGATGAAAGACGAGAACAAATTTTAAAATGCATTTTTCTGAACTAAATACCACTATAAACCATTAATAATGTATTTATTATGTACAGAAGGACCAGACATGAGTGTGTAGGTGCTGTTTTATGCCTTATACCACTCTGAACACACCAGATCATCAATGATTAATTTATAGAGGCACTAGCCATCCATGTCTCGTATAATCCTTTAGTCTCTTTCTCCCTCTTGTGAACTTATTATAATTTCTTTTTCAATGCACTCTGTATCTTTTAGTTTTAGTAAGAGTTTTACGACACTTGCAACACAATAAGGTAATAATAAGTGCCGAAGATTAGAGGTGTTACAAGAGAGTAACAAAAACAAAAAAGAAGGAGGAAAGATAAAGACGATAGATGTTTGATAGGAAAGAAGAAGTAAACAACACCAGAGCACCCTCCAACCACCCACATTTCTGCATCTTTTATTTTAACCTCCCTGAATCACATACCATAAAAGTACTGCTTCCATGACGACGTCACAAAGTCTGTGATTGCAATGCCCTCTGGTGCAGTGAGGGACACAGTCTGGTTGGTGGTGAGAGTGAAGTGTTGACTGTACGACCTGGTGTCCGTGGGTAGGTAGAGGCCGTACAGGCTGGACTCTCCCTGGAACGCCGTGTTCAGCTCTTTGTCCAGCGGCTTCTCTGTGCTGGGTATGGACTGGACCACACCATCCTTGAACACGATGTAGGAGATCCTAGACAGACGCATCCTTTTTTCGGGGGGGGGGGGGGAGAATGAACGTTGGGGGTTAATAATATAATTAAAATGTTTGTTCCCTCAAAGTTTAAATTTCGTGAGTACGTGCTTAAAGATGCTCTCTTAAAGAGCTTGAATAACTTATCGAAAAAGTCAAACTTACAGAGAAGCGAAGAAAAGCAAGGACTCCGAACGGGGTTGTTTGTTGTTGTTTTTTTTTGGGGGGGGGGTTAACAGACAGACAGACAGACAGACAGACAGACAGACAGACAGACAGACAGACAGACACACAGACACACAGACAGACAGACAGGCAGACAGACAGACGGACAGACAGACAGACAGACAGACAGACAGACAGACAGACAGACAGACATACTTGGAGGAGGATAACGACAGGGTGACAAAGAGAAATTAAGTGTAATATAACCGGACACAAAGACGAAAGGAGTAACGGACGAGGTGGTTGATACGAGTAGAGTGGACGGCGAAATGAGAACAGAAGCCAACACCACCCGAGTTCATGAGCAGGTGTGCGAGGTATTTCTGCGACATAGATGGACATGCAAATACAAAGTACTTTAAAAGATAAACAGGTTAGGTGTATAGAATTCGACAAACAGGTGTTATTTATGCCACGGATGATGCCACGGATGATAATAACAGGTGCTCTTTAAAACGAAGAAAATAATGCTTACCCGTATCTGCCGACATATCTGTGAGAAAAGAAGACTCTGCTGGCGTATGTGCACCCGCAATCTGTTGGCGGGAAAGATTGGGCGTGGGGAAGGGGGCAAGGTCAAAGAAGGGTTAGAGAATGAAAGTTTGTCACCAACATGTAACTCTTCCTTCAATCCATTAAAGTAAACTTGAAACCCTCCATTCGGAGCTTACTTAGCCTGTTACACATATCTAAAGTTGTCACTCTCAAGCAGTGTCACGTCATTCGAATCCCTGTCTCTTCATGCATGCAAGAGGCTATTAAAAACGTATTTTACGGGGGGGGAGAGAAGTGGATGGGGGGGTGAGGGGGTGGGGGGGGGGGGGGGGGGAGGAGGGGGTTTCAAGGAGGATGTGGGGGAAAGGTTTAGGAATTGATTTTTACCAATAAAACATTGTACTATGCGGCCTCCTGTTTGTGGTTCTCGTGTTGTGGGAGATCAGTCTACCGCTAGAGATCATCTCAATAAAATATGAAGAAGTATTCATGCGGTGGGCGAATTAAGAGTTCATGGGCAACTTTAAACGGACTTCAATAATTGGCTGATCTATCTCAGCTGAAAATCTTGCTGATTATGTTCTTTTCTACAGTGTAAATGGTGTGCACTGACGCAACATACCTCAATTTTAAAGTGATTTTGTGTGGGTCTTTAAGTGTGTGTCGCCTGCACGCCTCGAGGTGAAATTACCCGATATTGCTGGAGGTCCCCCCTTCTTAAATAACCTTTCAAATATGGTCGCTTGTATGCACAAGGGAGCTATCCCGAAAAAAATGCTGTTTTGAGAAAATCGAAGCTAAAGTTTTGGCCCCTTGTTCAGTTTCTTTAAAAGACAAGGAGAGTTTTCTCTATAACCAAACAAATATAAACACGAATGAAACCAAACTTCTCCTATTGGTAGAGCAATGCCCATTTTTGGTGTAGGTCAAGATTTCTGGAAACCTGCGAAATCTGGGTTAGCCCAGTTGTTCTTAAAAGCGACCAAAAAGCTTTTCAAATATTATAAGACGCGTTAACCCTATTCACTTCTCACACTGTAAATCAGCTTCACCTGGATTTTTAGCGCTCCACGCTCTGTCAATGACATCCTCAATTCTCCCGTACATTTCTTCTTGCACTTGGCCAATGAGAAAAGACTGGAAGACCTCGTTGGGACCGTACAAGGGGCCTCTGTAGACCTTGTTCGAGCTGAGCTCCGGGGCAGCTTTGAGATTGTCGTCTATTTGGTTGAGGACTTCTTCCTCCGTGCTGCTGGGCTGGGAGGGGTCTCTCGGAGTGGGAGTCAGTGCGTACTCCAGACGGAGAAGCTGGTTCCTGTGGATGGACAGAGCGCCAGATCAGTATGTTTTAATATCCTCTCTTTATTTTTTCTCTCTGTTCGGAAGATTTTGTCTCCTATTTTCGTGTTAGAAAGGATTTTTTATGTTCTCTCTTTACATTAGCTTTTTTTTGGCCTGTCGATGCCCTTTCACTCTCTCTCTCTCTCTCTCTCTCTCTCTCTCTCTCTCTCTCTCTCTCTCTCTCTCTCCA